CCAGTTAGCACACAACCTTTAGGTTTGTTTTTTTTAAATCCTGTAGGGAGTCTGGTTGGAAATATTAAACTGATGTGTACCTTCAGATGCTGTCTCTAAAGAAGACCGATAACTTTATGGGGACATTATTTGTTAAGTGCAAATATAAAGTTTGTAGAAGTATGGAAAAGCAATAAATTGTTAAATGAGTCTCTATTTCACATCATAATATTGCCCTAATGTGTCTTTTTACAGCACTACTCCTCTTCATTTTGATCACTCATGGCCACCATGGGTTGTATAAAATGCATAGAATGCAAACACCACGTTTCCAGGACATTTTTTCTTTTTTGTTTCTAACTGATTAGAATCATAATTACTCAAAAAGAATCCCATTTTGTCGCCTAAAATTTACAGATGGAGCGTCATACTGAGTCTCGTAAATTATTGTTTAATTTGAAACGTGAATTTTCATCAAAAGCAATGAACAAAAGAAACAACACAAAAAAGACTTCGCATACAGACAGTTGACTTACAGACATTGAAAGGATAACACAAAGGGTCAGGTTACGCCCTTCCAACATATATAAAGGCTTAAACTGTCCCATTGTTCTTTTGACATTCAGGGTTTGAGGCTCTACTACTACTGTATAAGGGGACATGGAGACGTAACCTTGACGATCTTGAACCCTCACAACTTACAGAACAGTCTTTCATAATGGGGAAAACATGCAACATGCCCATAAGGTATGCCTGTATGTACCACGTTCTGCTTTACTCTTCAAACAATAATATATTTGACGAATCCTTTATATTGTCAAGTCTTGTTCTCTGATATATTTACCATTGTTGGAAAGAATCCGTCCCTGATTTCAGTGTAAAGCCGAAGACTTTTTCAGTATCAGAATCAGAATATCATTATGTTTTCATTGTACAAGTACAACGAAATTCGATCAGTGCAAAGAAACCTTTATAAAGTCCCAGAAATTAATTACAAATATGAGTTTCAGAAAAACACATCACACTTTCACACATACTCATTTGCATTCCTTTACATTCTGCAGGGGTACAGATACAGATTAGATTAGATACACAATCATTGTTTCCCCTATTGTCTTCAGGGTTTTACCTTTATAATTTACACATATTTTTATACCACTTGAAAAAGACTCTAAACACACGGTTGAGTAGGTTGGATTTAAAGCTACTGGCCTGAATCTGTTGAGTTTCATATGTCTGCTGTTTCTACCACAGAGATGGGAGTTTAATAAAAAAGATGTGAGCTCGTCATACGGATGATTGTTTTTATATGACTGCTAGATTTACATCATTGTAACCTGGATACTTTCACTCACCGCACACTTACTCTGACCCTGTTTCTCACTCATTGGATAATTCATCCACCCACCTGGGAGCTGCCGTGCTCAAACACCATTTCTCACCGCTCACCACCACGCAGCTCCACTGGAGCATGGCTGTAGCATCGGCTCCTCAGCTGTTATTCGCTGAAGGCCTTGGCAGTAAGAAAGCTAGCTGGCTGCTAACAGCCCAGTGTTTGTCTCACTGTCCCCCAGGAGTTTTACAGCCCATGAAATATTCATCCAACACAAAGTCTGAAGAATAGTAAATTCAGTTAAACGCCGATGACTGGCAGCTGGGAACAGATTTATAGCTGCAAGTATACTCTGGTTGTGGGTGTGTGTGTGAGAGTGTGTTTGTGTGCATGCCCCCCCCGTCTCCATGAACATGTGTTTGCATTTGTGTAAACAATCTACACATGCATGCATGTGCACAATGTTACACCATTGATCATTATTGTAGGTTATTATATATTATATAAAAAAAGAAAGAAATGCAACCCTCACACAGTTTTGTGCAGTGAGATTTTGTCGATATCGCTCTTGGCCAGTAATATGATCATAGTCGGCAATATCTCCTCAGGCTCAGACCTGTCTGCAGTTTGCTGTCGATAAGTCCATCAATGCTCACCGCCTGCTCTGCCTCTGGATACACCTGTCAGCATTAAGTGGGAAGGGCACAGAGAGAGAGAGGGCAAATCAAACACTGACTTTCAAAAGTGTGGGAAAAGTACCTTCACTACAACTTCATTATCGGCATCCGGAGAGGAAAAGTCAGACAAGGAAAGGCCTTTTGTGAAAAATGAGAGGATTTAAAAGTTACATTTTTATTTCTCTTTTATCTGGATTATTTTTTTGGTTCTTCATTTGCAGCTTAACCATCGGAAATCTGAAATGAAAATAGGCTGACAAACAGGACAGAAAGGTCTGGGAGGACAGACGGACGGGACGGATCTGGTGGCGCAGACATGCCACACTCTTCTGTCTGAGGTGGAACTTGTCCATCATACTAATTGCCTACTTGTGCTGCTACTTCTGTTTATTCCTGTCAAACTGAGTTTGCTTCTGCAGACAATTTGAAACACATCTCCTAGTTTGCACACAGATTTTTTTTCTTTCTGTGAAATACTCTGCGTTCGACTACAGGCGTAAAAAGAAAAACCTTTTTTTATAGACACCATGGATATACGACACAGATAAAGCTGCTATTGTATTCTCGATGAAGAGGCCGGTGAAGAGCATCTGAGCAGGCAATTTCTTGGTGGGAAATGATTCCTTAAATGTATAATAAAGTGAAATTGGATTTGTCCTTTTCATTTAGCAAACATTATTACCCTTGGGATGGAAATCATCTAATGGATGATGTCATAATCAATATCAGCACAGCACCCTTGTTTTTGTTTTTTTTGCTGGACCATTTTCAGTCGATTGATTGGCAGCTGAACCATGGCTCCGCCCCTCTCGGCTTCCCGGGGCATGAAACGGTCAGTCGGACAAATTACATCCTTTCAACGCAGCTGTCAATCAGACACTTAGTGGGCTGAACCCCTCGCGGTATGTATTCCTATCTGATGCTTCCTATTAGAGAGAAAAAGTCTCTAACAGTAGCCCCTGGACTCTGCTGACCCACATAGTACAAATCTATACACTTGGAGCAGTAATAATAATGATGTGAAACATGAAGCCAGTGCTGCTGTTGTAAAGAGTCCAGTATCTCTAAGACTCACAACACTGCATATTTGAATTGATTGAACAGTTAGCCAGATGTAGCCAGATGAGAAAGAAATCCAAAACATCATGAAACATATACCTAAATGCATGCATTTCTTTTATCATACTGGTATTGGAGGTTTACTCAGTATCAGCCAATAGTCAAGTTATGGTGTCTGAATTGGTATCAGGAAGAAATATACTGGAATCAAAACAACTTTAGTTCTACAGATAATTACAATTTCAAGTTTGGAAATTTTCTCCATAGTGTACAACCTGCTATGTTGACTGCACAATTGGAGGGAAACCCGGCAATGATAACCTGCAGGGCTCTAACTCCCAGCGTCCCCCATCGAGGGTCCCAATTGACCAGTAGGCGTTTCTTCAGAACCGTTAAGAATAAAAGTGAGAAGAAAGAAATACGGGATGAATAAAGGAGAATGAGACTGAAATAGGCCAATCCCAGAGGAACTATTGATCTGTGGCTGAACTGTACACACACACACACACACACACACACACACACACACACACACACACACACACACACACACACTCTCAGGCTGGATGCCAAAACACATTCTGGTGGTCAAATATGTATAATTGATAGAGTTGAGTTTGACACAGTGCTGTAATGTAATCTGGGACTAGATTCCCTATGGCGTAAAAGTGTGTGTGTGTATGTGTGTGAATGTGTGTGAGATTGCAGGGGGGAGAATAAGGCGAGGTGAGGGAGTGTAGTGGTTTGCAGAGAGAGGGGACAGGGATTTGCTGTGGGGACTCAGTGTAAATTTGATGTATTGGACGGCAGTATTTTCCCTCCCTGTGCTAACCCCCCGGGTTACACATGTACGAACAATGGCCTTCTCTGCTGTAATGGGCTTCTGCCAACAGGGACCACTTTCTCACTCACACAATGTGTGTGTGCGCGTGTGTGTGTGTGTGCGTGATAAACTGCATGGGGTTGTTTCTCGCTTCGCTCTCTGATTTACTGTAAAAAATGTTATTTTTTATGTTGAATAAGACTTCACACAGAGCAGGTCTGAATGTATTTACACCGCCTTTGAGTCCATCACAATCAAATAAACTGTGGCAAAATATCGACACCGCAATATCTGACTCATCTGGCAAAATTATGAAGCTGCTGGTGCAAAATAACAGTAGTTAAAACAATTTTGTAAAAGCTTCTCAATTGATTTTTTACTGCCATTTGTCACCCTGCATCACCACGTTATGCCTCCTCACAGTGATGCTCATGACATGAACGAGGGTAACGTGAGCGCTTGAGTTAAATGATGAGGTGAAGAAGGTGAAACTAAAAGCAAATCACACTTTGATCTATTTAGGAGCATTTTGCATTCTTCAGTTTATCTGACGTCTTGATGTATTATTACATGACTGTCTTGCAGTATATTGATAACAGCAGAATCACTGTGTCATTATTTATCATTAACACACATAGCCACATATCGCATTTCATTTCTTACTGTATTGTGAGTCACCCTCTTATTTCCGCAGCCCCTTGCATATACAGTGCCTCATATACAGACAACACACTGCTTGTGTTTTTCATATATTTCCCTGTCTGTACGTTTCTCGTCTTCTGTGCTTTGTGTACTGTCTTTGTGTGTATTTTTTGTTTGGGGTGGGCGGAGCTTTGTGCCTGCTGACAGTGTTCCTGCTCCTTTGTTCCTCTGTCACTGTGTGTCTGGTTTAATTGCGGGCCTTTGAGGGGGAATCGATTTGAGCAACAAGATAACTAAGTTATCAAACTGTTTCATTGACTGGCTGTCCCCTTCTCTCTCCATCTTCTGCTTCCTCCCTATTCCTCTTCTCTCATTTCACTCTCCATCCCTCTACGCTCCTCTTCTCCTCCATCCATCTCCTCCCAACATCTCTGTGCCCGATTCCCTTTTTGCAACATTTTTCAACTCTCTTCTTTCCTCTCAACAGGCCGGCAGACGTGTCCACCGGAGAAGTTTGATTGCGGAGGGGCGACCAGCAAATGTGTTTCTCTGTCATGGCGATGCGATGGGGAGAGGGATTGTGAGAACGGGGCGGATGAGGACCAGTGCGCCGCAGGTAAGTTTGTGGTGGGATATTTTGGAAACCAAGGATAAGAGAGTATCTACCTGTGAGCGTGTTTTTGACCTCAATTCAAGTCTATGTCGCTCACTTTGGGTTAAGAAGAAAAGCATCAAAGTGAGAAGGCTCCACAATGCCGGGTCCTTACTCTGCAGGGCTAGCAGATGCAGCTAAAGACTTCATTACTCAGGGATGATTGACACCAGTAATAATGTTAATTTCCAGTCACCACTGGCTGTTGGCAGCGGAGGTGATGAAGAAATCGTTTTGAATTTTAAGTGAGTCCAGCGATCTCTGCTAAGAGTGTTAATTTGATGCTATTTGTTTGCTGCATGTTCCTGTTTGATTAATACTCAATAGAAATAATATTATCTGTTCAAGTGTGTTTCCTTATCTGCTCAACTTGTCATTTGATTTATAATGTGTAGCTTCAGGACCGTTCCTCCTCGAAGAACTTGCACTGCACCTTTCTTTTTTTTTTTGCAAACTGAAAACCCTTCGAGCTCTTATAAATAAAAGTTGGGATTTCACAAACTCTTATAAATAAACCGTTGAGGGTTTTAAATGAGGTGGAAAAGCAAAGGTGAGCAGGAAAGACGTCGAGATGAGAAATCCGAGAAAGAAAGTATTGTTGTTGGAGGAAAGAACCTGAGAGAAGAGAGAGGGGTAAAAGAAGTTCACATGTGAGGATATTTCTAGAAGTGCTCGCTGCATGGAGCCTCGTGTTTTTTGGCAGACTCTGGGCGATAATCAATGCTAAGTTCAGATCTTAGAGAATACTTGATGACAGGGTAGCTTTCGCCCTCATGTGAGGTTTTGCAGGGCAAGTTGGAAGATGTTTGTACATTTTATAGTCGGTCACCTGGGTCATCTGATAGTTTAGGATTCTGTTCAGATCTGGTCCAGAGTTCAGCCTGGAGTATTTTACCTCGGCTTCCAAGAAAGTTAAATGTTTTACCTTTTATTCATTTATATTTATTTATTTGTTACGTGTCTAGAAATGTCAAACATGTTCAGTTTTTCTCCCTAGAATCTTGCTCTTGTTTCAGCTGAGCTTGAAATGGGATATATATGGTGTCTTTGCTGATAGGCTGAGTGAGAAGTGTTGTGTTATTGACGCTTTTAAACAATTCTGCATTTTGCAAGTGTGATGATTTTTTTAAGAGGGTGTCTCGTACACTTTTTTTTTTTTTTTTTTTACATGAATGTTCTGATATTTAAACAACAGCCACACAAAGACAAACAGTTTTGCTAAAGGTGTAACGCACAGTATGCAGAGGGTGCAGTTGCACGTTACAGGATAGTGAATTGTCATACTCTACGCTTTCAGTGATGTCATCTGTGGTGCACCAGGAGTGTCAAAATGAGTTAAACGTCTGTAAATCAAGAATTTGTGTGTTACGAGTTGGTCAGAGGCTGGTAATATGTTTACGCTCCAACCATTTCCTTTGAACAGCTGTTAACCCAATGAATGTAGCTACATAACAAAAATATAGAGAAAGACTAAGTCTGCACACCAGAAGCTGCTCCAATCAAAGCTGAATGGGAATGATCACCACGTGTAACGTTTCATCAGACATGAACAAATGAGAAGACACACCTCCACATATATTAAACTACTGAAAAGTTGTCTTAATTTCCTTTTAAATCATACAGCATACATATACATACAGTTACATATACAAGTTATTTAAAGTTGAGGTATTGTGTCATTCACATCATGTTAACTACTGTATATGACATACACAGTTACATAACCAATATACCTTTGTCAATACTTTTTGAAACCTTAATCATCAACTTTTTCCCAAAACATAACAAAGAAGTTTAGTTGCCTTAATATCAGTGTTTTCAGAAACTAGACTGAACATTACTCAGCTGCAGAAGAGCCTCCACCATACACTTCCACCTGGGTATCTAAAACATGTAGGACATAAAGTGTGGCTTAAAGCAGGAAGTAAGAATGGACATGATGTGCCTAGATGTGTTCTCTGCCTGGAGATCCTCACCAACTGGCCTTTACAAAAAAAAGATGTTGAATGGAATAAATGGCAAGATTATTGATTGTTTATAAAAGTAAGGGAATGTAGATATTTTATTGATCCCGAGGCAAATTCAAATAATTCAAAGTCTTTGTTGCATATCTAAAGTAACTCTCTTGTTCTTGGTTTCTCTTAGTTTAGTCCTCTTAGATAGTGGTTTCCTACACAAGGCTGTCTTTATGGCTGCAGTATGGCTTTGTGAACAAAAATAAACACACCCTTACACACACTTAAACTCTCCCTCCTCTGTGTAGCCATGTGCACACAGGCTCCCATCACATTATCTAGTCTACATTCTGGCATCAGAGCTGCAAAAAGGGCATTGATTTTCATCAGCATAAACATCTGGCGGTACAGCAGCAGTGATTTACAGCTCAGACACACACACACACACACTATCAAGCACAGACATGCACACACAGCAGTTTTTCATTGAATATAGATTGAATGTGATATTTTCTCATTACTAAATCTGTTTTCTGTAACATGGGAGAAGAAACTGCTTTAAACATCAGTACTGTATGACTTTCAGTGTGTGATTCATCAGTCCAGTCTTCATCATGTGGAGGCTGTTCTTCTGTAAAGAAGAGAGTGAAAGTCGCGAGAATAGAACTACAAGCTCGTGTGTTTCAGTTTATCTGTGTGTGTGTGTGTTTGTGTGTTTGTGTGTGTGTCTGATGCATCTCAGTTTCCATTATCTTCCCATCATCCTTTAGGCGTTTTGGCATTCATACATTTGCATGCTGAGAGTGATGAAAAAATGCATGTATGCACACTGGAAGGACATGCACGTTCATAACTATGGACACACACACACACACACACACACACACACACATTGACATACACACTGTAAGATCTCTGCTGGATACTTTTACATTTCCAGTCCCAATATGTGAAAAAAATGTGTGGAAGTGAAACTACAATTTTTAATGAACTTCAGTTATTCCAGAGGCGATTCAGATCAAATCATGACCAAAGTTTAATGACTTTTTATTTCAAGTTGTGCAATCTTATCCTTTTAAATTCCCAGAGGGTATCTTGGAAAAGTTACTACAGCTATATCTACAACATCTTGTAAAAAACACCCACATGTCTTTTAGATACTGTCAGAACCACTGGTGGTACATAGTTAAAAGATTTCACTTCAACCTAAAACAATCTCATGAACGTTTTTGACAAATGTAATTACATATAATTATTATACAATATTGCAATGAAGTAAAACTTAGCATGACATTATTTTTGTTTCAAATGAAATGTTTATTTTTTTTTGGCAGCGTAGGGTTTAAGAGTTGACTTTATTAATAAAGCATTAACCAATGTTCACTTTCGATTTTTAAAAAGCTTTACTCAATCATAGATTAAATCAAAATGATCATTTTCAAAACTACAAGATATACACATGGAGATGAATGTGACATTCTACAGAGGCCCTGATGTCCCAAAAAGTAAAAAAAAAAAAAAAAAAAAAAAAAAAAAATCATGTTGTGGGCATAAGTTAATATCTTGTTCCTAAATTTTTTATTTACTTTTTTTTAAACTTTTTGGGACTTCAGGGGCTCCGTACATTCCTGTCCCTGTCAACCAAATAAAAAGACTGTAGGTGGGCTGGCTCTAACATTTTTTATAAAGTTGCCTCTAACAAGGTGACATTGTATCTGGAATGGAAACCGGTGTGTTATAAATGGTTCGAAACAAAGTGATAGTTTCAGTGAAAAGTGTTGAGACCAATAACGACACCTGTCAGACAGTTTCATGTTTGCACGTCTTAATCAGTTACTCTTTATTTCTATTGAGGCTGTTTACTTCCCGAGCAGTGATGGATTTTATTTATTTTCTGTTTAATTCATTATAAAAGTGAATGAAATAGATTTTTAAATATGTCAGGAACATTTGGTTTCATTTGAGTCATCACAGGCAGCAATGGAGAAGAAATGTATGATGCAAGTTTTGCCCAATCTCCTAAATGTCAACATGTGTTCAATCCTTGCATTATAGAATTCTCTAGATTTTGCGAGCTGTTATCACTTTTAAGTCAGACGAACATCGTGTACAGTAATGAGCGCCCCCTGATGAGTTATTTAAAAGTTTTGACATTCAAAAAGCTGATTGTAAGTATTCCCCTCAGATCAGGCTGATGTGGAAAAGTTATGAATTAATCTAAATTTATTCACATTTCAAGAGTTGCTTTATAATTCTCTTGCGGCATAGACAGAAAAATATCATCAATCCCCTCTTCATATTTGTCTACTTTCCTCCGTTCCTCTTCGCCTCTCCAAGCGTTCATTCATCCCCACTCTGTCTGTAAGTTGTTGGAGTTCAGGCTGTGAGCACACATTGATCACATCAGGGAGTGTGTGGCCTCGACCTGATGAAAACAACAGACTCTGTTGATTCAGTCATCTAACCTGAACTTCCAGCGCATACATCTCCGCCTCTCTGATGTTTTTATGAGTGTAAAGAACCTGAAAACAAGGCGGCTTCACGTCTTCTCTTCTGTGCCCATCACTTTCACCTGCACTTTTTTTGTTCTCTTTTAATTCCTGCACATTGACTCAAAGGGCATCAAACACTGAATCTTCTTCTCATCGCGGTTCATGCCCCTGACCTGTTTGAGCCTTTATCTCTGAAATTATAAAGTGGATAATAAAGCTTTGAAATATTTCATAGGGGTCTGGATGATAATTCATTTCCTGCCAGATGGTGTTAGTGTGTATGCATGTGTGAGACTGTGTGTGTGTGTGTGTGTGTGTGCCAGTGATTGCAGGAGAGCTGTCATAATCACCTGCAGAGATCAGCCTTTGATCTATCATTTTAAAGATGAAGGCGGCTGCTGTGAATATTAAGTTCCATCTGATCCATAAAAGAAAGGCCCGTGTTATCTGAGGTTCCTCATAAAAGTCCACTTTAAAGGCCTCATAAAGGATCCATTTGCTATTTTTCTTTTTTCCT